CTTCTGTTTGCGAACTAGTCAAAGTCAAAGTAGTTTCGTTTGTAGGAACCTAAACTTATCTGTTGGACCCAAATGTATATACTCTCTGACGCAGCCATCGATTAATTAGTTTAATTATAAGTCGGTCTGTGCACTACCCTGCGGTAAGCATCAAAGAGTGTCTTAGTGCAGATTGTGTATAGTTCTGTAGCTTATGAGCGATAGGGATTCCACTAGTGAGGACAACCGGATCTTGCGATCGGCTAGATGCCCGATTGCCCACGTGGCATTAGGACCCGAGGGTGATAGGTTGTTCTGCCAGCAAAGGGAGAGGCAGCAGCAACAGCGAAGAGCTAGGGCAACAGAGGCCAGCAGGGCATTCGCAAGCGAGGCCGCAACTTCAGCAGCCATAGCGACTGCTGCACAAAGTTCCCAGACTAGCAGTTCAAGGACCGTAGGGTCAACGGTCGCACAGACCCTGAGTCAGTCCACTGGCGCCATGGCAAGCCAACCATTAGTGTTGACTTCCGATGAGATCACCATACAGCAGGCAGCACTGCAGGAGGCAGAACTACATAAGTCCTTAGGAGAGATAAAAGTGGAGAAGGAAAGAGCGATTAGAAGAAGAGTCAGGATGCAGCGGAGAAAAGCGAACATTAGTGAGTTAGAGGGAATGGACCTGACGCACATAGATGACGATGTGAGGACGTTGCGGACAACCCTGCTAGGTGTTGTAGAGATGCAGGACCACCACACGGCTCTCCTTCAGGACATCCAGCAGAGTCTGGCCTTGCTGGTCGGGCGAGCGCAGGCAGCACCATCGTTGTCCGGGCCTAGTGCCTGGCCCGTTGTACAACCTCTTCCTTATGTCCCACCGGTGACTGGGTATCCCCATATGTCTCCCCAGCATCGGTCCAAACCGTTTCCCTGGGTATGTCGTTGGCAGGAGGGTTCTCAACAGGTCCCAGTGTACAGGTTCTTGTACACACAGTGTTCTCCCAACCTACGTCGCATGTTGTAGTAAGCGGGCAGCCTGCTGTCTCGCAGCCCACAAGCGGCTCCCTCGCGAATCGTTCCTCCCAAGTGATGTTTTCTTGGATCCGGCCTCTTCCTTTCAAGAGAGTTGGGGCTCTCTGTTAGTCTGCGAGTGCAGTTACGAAGACCTCGCAGTTAGTCCCGGAACGGTTGTAATGATCCGGCGGGGCGGTGTCACTCGCCCTGTGGTGGTTGCGGCTTCCACCCGGTACCACACCTGATCCCTCCCTTTGGACAGTGCTGCTCAACTTAATGCGAGCAGCCTTGGTGCATTACAAACGGTCGCGCCGCCCCTCTACGGCATGGCGTGTGGTTGGGGAGAAAAAATGAGACTTAGGAAAAGAATGGCTCACTCGCCCGTTTGGCTCCACGCCCTTGACGTTTAGGTTCTCAACATGAGGTGCGGTATAAACTCCCCGACTAGAGCTCGTTGTCGGAGTTAGTTCCGGACGGCCAGCATCAATCAAAGAGAAAGGTGCCTTGGTCCTTCAACCCTTATCCTTCCTTATGAGGAATAGGTCGCGTTGAGACTTTCCCTTGACGGGTAGAGGTCCTGGGGTTGCGGTGCATGCATTGCTATCCCCCTTACGTTGAGGCCCGAGACTAGAAAGAGAGGAAAACTCAATCTCTTGCTATTTTCGTGGTCGGTCCGACGACCTTTTATCAAATCGCCTAGGGTCCTCTGACTTATGCAATGCAATATCCAATCCTCAATCACTCATTCCAATGTCGTTTCCAGTCCTTTCTCAAAGCTGGTTTATCATGGCTGGTCCGACAGCTTCTCTTCAACAAGGCCACCCCATGTGACCGATCTGGTGGTCGCTCTTTCAATAGCCATCTCTCAAGGTCGACCCTTCGGCCCACCTTCAATCCTCAACTTTCACATTCCCCAATATCCAATCCTTATGACCGTCCCAATGATCTATGCCCTTCTCGTCTTAAGTCTCGGTCTTCTTTATCTTGCCCTTCTCTTTTCAACGCATCATTCTTTTTCATCCATCCTCATGGCTATTTCAATGACTCATCCATCGGCCTTTTTCCATTTCACATCACTCAATCCAGCTCATTCTCAGTCAACCTTTCTCAATCAATTATGCAGGGGACCCCAGTGCCTATTTCAAAAGAAATGACCCTTGTCAGGGCCATTTCCGAACAACGTGGTTAGGGTCGTTCTTTTCCATTCTCAAATCGAACACCCTGGTTATGACCGTTCCTTTCCATTCTCAAGTCGAACAGTCTGGTTAGGGTCATTCCTTTCCATTCTCAAGTCGAACAGCCTGGTTAGGGTCATTCCTTTTCCATTCTCAAGTCGAACAGCCTGGTTAGGGTCATTCCTTTTCCATTCTCAAGTCGAACAGCCTGGTTAGGGTCATTCCTTTCCTTTCTCAAGTCGAATAGCCTGGTTAGGGCCATTCCTTTCCATTCTCAATGTTCGCGCCCGAGGGGGTGGGCCTTGAGGACACGGATCCTATTTCTGTCTCGGAGGTTAGAAGGTGGTCATCTCTTTTCAGTTTTCTGCGTGCGGTTTCCTTTATCCATTCTCTCAATGTCATTTGTTGTCCATGCCAAACATCCGACTTAGCGTCTAGTGCTAAAATTGAGGCTCATAACCCCAAGCAGCACTAGCCCACCCGGTCGTTCAACCATAGCAGAAGATCGGGGCACCCCCTCTATTTTCACTATTTCTGATCATTCAGATCTTGGCTATTTTCAGACTCATTCATGACTCAGTTGGATTAGGCTCCTAGGGAAGGAGTGTTATTCACGCCCCTTAACCCATAGGTTCCCTAACCTCTCTTGTACTCGACCACCATTCACGTTTTGCTTTGCTCGTCAATCTGTACTCACAGTTTTTCTTTTCAAAGGCACAATCCTCATTCCATCCAAAGTTCATAATACACCCTTCCCAACCAGTCTCATCCCATGCCCCATGCCATTGTCTTGTCTACACACTTTCGAAGGTAGCTCATCCAAAAAGTAACCTCAAAATGCTATCTTCTAACCCATCGTGACCCAGTCTTAGCTAGTCTTTTTTATCTCACATTCCTCACAAGCTTACTCATACTATACAAACCTTATCATTCCATAATTGCAAAAAAAGAAAATCACAATTTTTTGTCCAACACTTAACAACATTTAATCCCTATTGTTGTCATATGCCTCAACTCGATCGGTCTCCTGCTCGTCGTGTCTTTCTGCTGGCTCTTTAACCCCCAAGCCGGAGGCCATGATTTCTCTCGTCCTCTTTGCAATCTCTCGTAACTCCATCTCACTGTAAAAATTCAAAGGTGTGGCCACCACCCCTGCCTTCGCGAGTTTCCGGGTCTTGATAATCCACTCATGTTTGATCACACTGAGCCATTGTTGAAACCAATGGCCGGGCGTTGGCCCAAACTCATCCTCCCATCTGAAGGCCCCTTCGCGCGGTTGGTGTATCGGGGGCCGCCTGTCTTCTTTAGGCCTCGAGATTTCATCATTTCCGTTCCCACTGCTGCTCCCTATGACCTCTTGTACTTCCTCCTCCTCCTCCTCCTCTTCTTCCGTCTGTATGGGGTTGTACCTGTCTCTTATACACATCTAGATGTGTATAAGAGACAGGTGTATCGGGGGCCGCCTGTCTTCTTTAGGCCTCGAGATTTCATCATTTCCGTTCCCACTGCTGCTCCCTATGACCTCTTGTACTTCCTCCTCCTCCTCCTCCTCTTCTTCCGTCTGTATGGGGTTGTACCCACCCGTCAAGTTCTTTGGATCATAGTTATAGGGAATCTTTGCCCTCCCTCCATATCCTTCTTCAAAGTCCGGATACCTCCCCTCACAACCGTCGTGGCCGCTTTGCTCTTCAAGCGGATTTTTCCTTCTTTCTTCCCCATCCTCGCGTTCGTCGCACCTGTAGTCCCTCCCTTCGTTTTTCTCAAGCCAAGGCCCATGCTGTTCGCATCTCTCGGCCCCTTCCTCGTCAGAGGCCTGAGCCTTTTCTCTCATATCCGCTTTGCCCCCTTCTCCCACACTCGCCCTTTCCTCCTCGCTCTCACTTCCAGATGATATATATCTACCTTCTCCCTCCCGGAGGGGTGAGGGTCCTTTGCACATGCGTTTCCTCACTCTCCTTCCTACCACACGCTTGGACATGTCCCCTATGTACAACTTTCTCTTTGTCGTCCTCCTCCCTCGACCTGGTCTCGCTTTTTCCCCTCCGGTAGTCCTGTTGATCGCCCCGCTGTCATTCTCGTTGCCGAATTCCATTTTTACTGTTTCTTGTGTTTTTCTTCTTGGTGCTGTATAACAAAACAACACCCGCCAAGCCCCTCATACACACGTTTCCCCAGTCCGGTAGGCAGCTCCCCTTCTCCTTGAATGCTCCCAGTACCCTTCACATCATGCCACTATTATACATTCCCCTCTCATGCAAATGCCCCATTTGTGATGATCCCATTATTTCCCCATAAAAAACTATGATACAATGTTTTCGACAATCTTTCCCGTCGTCACACAAAACCCGTTATCGCAAAATCCCAAGTCATCCTGCCGTCCAACTTTAGTTAGTCCAAACCATTGCCCCAGCCCCAAAAAAATGACAGTCTCACGGACGCAGTCAGAGACAAAACCATGGTGTGGGCAAGGCCGTTGTCAGTCCTTAGCTTGTAGCTCCTCAGTTTCCTTATCCTCGACCTCCTGAAGCCATTGTTCCACTGGGTCCCGACTTAGAAACCTGACCAATCGTTGCCCCGGGAAGGGTCCTTTCAATCCTGTTTCATCCAGATCTCCCAGTTCGAAGGTGTTCAGTCCCACCCGCTTGGCGACCCGGTAGGGGCCTTTGAACCTCCTCCCCAGCTGTCCAGACCAAGTACTTTCTAGTACCGAGTTCCTTAGCAATACTGTCTCCCCCACCTGAACTGGTTCCTTTCTAACATTCTTAACCTGGTCTCACCTTGCTTTGTCCCTCATTCTGCTGTCTAGTATCGGTTGGCGATGTCTTCCATGACCTCCTCGTTCCTAAGAATTTGTTGACATCTTGCCTCAATCAATTCTTCCGTGGTCATATGTGGATCGTCATTTTACCTGTTCCAGGTTGGTATCAAGGCTTCTACGGGAAAATTGATCTCCCTTCCGTACCAAAGTTCCGCTGGGATACATCCCGTTGTCCTCTTAGGTGTCATGTTCTCTGAGAAGACAATCTGCTTAAGGTACCTAGGCCAGCTCCCCAGATTGTCCGCCGCGAGCTTCGCAATCGTGTTCTTTAAGGTCTGGTGCCCTCTTTCCACAGGTGCATTGGCCTCCGGATGATATGGCTCGATGAGCTTGATCAATACGCATAGCTCTTAAGCATTCCCAACACTTCTTGGTTCACAAATTATGTCTAATTGTCTGATATAAACCTCCTGATGAAGGAATGCCTAAAGTAGAAGTCGTTTACCCAATCCGCTACACTTCTCCCTGTCTTTTTCTTGAGAGCGACCGCCTCTACGAACCCACTCAAGTTGTCTCGCGCATCCAAGATATACCTGTACCCATCTGTTAATACAGGCATGACTGCAAGGTCAAGGGGGACCAAATGTCCCGGCCCCAGCACCCGCGTTGGTCTAAGTGGCTCGAAGACGCGTGCCGAGCTCCGTTCTTGGCAGATCAGGGAGGTCTGGCAGTACGTGGCGACCATACCTGCCATGCCTGGCCGATAATAGAACGGCGCTATCTTCGCAAGAGTTCCTTTGGACGATCGATGTCCTCCCGCTAGTCCGTCGTGCATTGCCTGGATCACGTCCAACTGCCTAGATTTCCCACACACAACTCTTCTAGGCATAGCACCTTCCTCTCTTCGGAACAGATGATCGCCCCTTAGGACGTACCTCTAAGCCTCCTCCCTTGCTTTAATGTTGACTTCCATGGGTTGTTTGTTTCCTACCAGCAACAACCCAATCTCCCGAAAGATCCCTCCGTATATCTGAGCATAGAAAAACTCATTTCCTTCCTCGTCCTCATCTTTTCTCTCCTGTATTTGGTTTACCATCCACCGCAACTCTTTCCTTTCCCAAGATTCTACTAAGCTCATCACAGCTTCCCGGCCTCCCTCAATCGCCATTGCTATTAGTTCCTCCTTCGGTCCTACTATTGCTCCCCACGAATCTTTCTCCTCTTTGCGACCTCGAGTGGTGAATGGTCCTTCTCTAAGTTTTGCTACTACGGCAGGTGCCCCCTTCTCCAAGGTCCGGATCAACAGTTCTCCCGACGTGCATTCTTCGCCAATCATTTCGTTATCCACCGCAAGAGTCTCTCCTTCGTATTCAAGGAATGCGTCTATGGGCTCCGCATCCTCCACCCCTTCGGGAGTGATGCAGACCCAACTCAGCCCATCGGTCTTGTTTTTTATTACAGCAATTCGCTCGATCTTGTAATCGAACTGCCAGATAAATCCTACCCATCTCCCCACTGATGGATTTATAGGCCTATAATTCTTTAAGTCCCCTGCAACATTCGTCGGATCGATCCTAAGGATGAACCGCCTCCCAAATAGGTAGGCTTGGAAGGTCTTGAGGCAATGGAAGATGGCTAGGACCTCCTTCTTGAACTGTGAGTACCGCCGTTCTGCGGAGTTCAGGGTTATACTTTCGAACATGATTGACCTTTATTTTCCTTCCTCATCCCTTTGAATCAGTATGCCTCCTACGACCAAGGGTCCTCCATCCGTTTCTAGGATGAATGGTTGTACCACTTCGTCATTAAAACAGGGTGCTGACAAGGCGACTTGCTCCGATGTCAGTATGTCCTTGAGGGTTTGTACGGCTCCTTCTCGCTCCTCCGTCCAGTCCATGGTCCCTTCTTCTCTAATCATGGCCCGGATAGGCTCAACAATCTTGGCAAAACTTTTAATTAAAATCATTCAAAAGCCGACCATGCCTAAGAATATTCTTACCTCCGTTGTCATGCGCAGGGGTGTTGGCCACTGTGATATCTTGTTTATCTTCGCCGGATCTGGCTTCCTACCGTATGCGCCACAGCGAAATCCTAGTATGGTCACTTCCGGTACTGCTAGAATACTCTTTGGTTCGCTAGCCGTGATGTTGTATACTAGGAACCGGCGGAGTAAGTCCTTGATGTCCTGTAGATGGTCCCATACAAATCTTCGGATTCCCGACTGGACTTCCGTCTCGTCCTTCTGTTGAGCGCCTTTGATCGGGTTGTCATCGATGTAGGGCTCACACTTCTCTGGGAACATGTCTCCGGCTACGGCGAGCATTCTCCGTCGCGCTTCGACTACTGCGTTTGTGAAGCCCATAGGGGTTACCAACATCTGCGTCGCGCGTCGGCTACTGCATTTGTGAAGCCCATAGGCGAGCATTCTCCGTCGCGCTTCGGCCTACCGGGGTGTGCCTTGCGGTGTACGGCCTCTCCTAAACATCCAATGGAAGCTGGTCGTACCCTGAGTACAGATCTATCAGGGAGTAAATGGTCCGGCCGGCGTGCGACTCTGGTTATAAATCGGCCTGAGGCAGCGAGCCATCATCCCGGATGGTTACCGCATTCAACTTCTGCAGATCCTGAATCCACCTAAGCGTCTTGTTGGGCTTCTGAAAGACGAACCACCGGTTCGCCTATGGCGACGTTGTAGGTTCTGCGACGAAGGAGTCCATCTTTGCTCGAAGAAGGTTTGTCACTTCCCCCGCTATCCCAAATTCATAGGACGGACCCTTGTCATTCCAGCACTCGTGCTCTACCGTGTGGATTCTGACCGGAGAAATTAGCTTCGCGTCCAACCCCCCCTTTTGGTGATCACTAAAGGCAAATGACAGGTGAAACTCCTGGTAGGTCCTTTTGATCAGGCCGGTTTCTTTTTCTCTTAAGAATCCTTCTACCCCTATCTTCATTGTATCAGCTACCTCATCTGGTATCCGATGCCCTTCCGTCGCCCTCCTCTCTCGGATCACTCGAAGGACTTCCTCCTCCTTCTCCATAGCCTCCTCCTTAGATGTCTCTAGCAGGATCGAGACCGGTTTCGCTTTCTTTCCTACTGGCTTGTACTTTTGAACACTTCCTTCCGGGATCTTTCTCCTAAAAATTGAGCGGCCGAGGTTACTTCTGTTGCCTCTGCGCCCCGTGGCTGAATGCTGACTATTTTCCCATTCAGACAATACCCTTTTTGTACTTCTCCTTCAAATTTGGCCAGCGTCGTTGGATCCACCCCTACTTTGTGATACCTGATAGCTTTGATGAGTTGCACTACGTCGAGGATCTCGAGTGCGATTTCAGGTGCCTCCATCCGCACTTCTTTCCGTCTGGGCAGGCTGGCTCCGAGTTCGACTTCCGATTCCCTCTCTGCCACCATAACACCTAAGACTTCGTCCTCGTGCTTTCTCTTCTTCTCGGGCAGGCCCATCTTGATCCATTCCTTCTTATTGAATGCCTCCTCAATCATAATTTTTACCCTTTCTCTCATACCCTCCATCCGCGCAAAAGCCCCCTTCCGTGCGCCATCTTCGAACGACGGCGACCACGTAGCCAACTTCCCCTTCGGAGGGTCTCCTCTCGTCCCAAGGAGTCGGAGGAGCTCACCCCGACTGGTCACTGGGTCCTCTATATCTACCATGTACGTGCCATCGTGCAAGTGCATGCCTATCATTTCCACGTTTGCGCACCATGGTCTCTCGAGGATTATGTCGTTATCCATTTCCTCCATTACGGTCATCCGTTGAAACGACCAGATCGACTCCTTGATCCCTGCCTTAACTGCGCATTTCGTGACATACCCAACGAACGAAATTTCCCCACCGGCTCCCCGGATGCTCCCTGTTACTTCCTTATTTACCGTACAACCCGTGATTGTTGCGAAATCTCTCCTTATGAGAGTGATTTCCGCTCCCCTGTCTACTAATGCGTCGGTATGATGAGTCCCGATCTGGATTTTCAACTTTCCTACGGGCAGCGCATGGAAGCTGAGCTTTGTTCTGGGGAGTTCCCTCATGACCTCGCCACCTTCTCGGTCCTGCAAACTCAGGCGGATGTCCGCAAAAACTTTCTCGAGATCCTCCAAATCCCCGCGGCTCCTTTGAAGGTTCGCGACTTCTTGCGGAGCTTCCTCCTCCCTTCCCTCTTCCGGTGATTTGGGGTTTTCATCTACCTCTACTCGCCGCCGAGTCAATAGTTGTCTAAGCCCTTTGAGCAACCTAAGGCTGGCCTGCAGCATGGTCTGAAACGACACTGACACCATGGTTCCTAATAATTTGCTAAGAGTGACATCGATCTCAAGCGTGGTTAATATCGGGATTTAATACCTAGACTTCTTCTTAGCAGCAGTAACTTTGTCTGTAGGCTCCTCTTCCATAGTCTTCCCATAGACTTTCTCTGGTTCCCCGGCCTCGGGCTCTGCCTGGGGCGCGGAGCCTCCAACAACCTCCTCCATCACGGTGTCACGGATAATCCTTCTCCCAGCCGTCTCTAGTTGAGTGGTCGCGTTCACCCTATCACGTCCGTCACTTTCCATAATAAAGTTGACCTGCGGCCCGCGGCCCCGAAGTTGATCCTAGATGATATCGACCGCCAGCTCAGCCTCTACTGCTGCTATCTCTAACCCATTGAGCATGGTAATGGCTCGCTGCATTCCCCTCGGCGAGTTCTAATTCACCCGTTCTCCCTGCGATCCGAATATATCTCCCTTTAATGATCTAGTACATCTTCTTTTTAATATATCATGGTTGAGTTTTGGACATGCGCGCATAAAATGCCCTACTGCGGCGCAGTACCTGCATTGCTCATTTGCGGGATCTCTCCGTCTGAATCCTCGGTTGGATACTCCTAGCGGAACTACGGCTTCCTGGGGAGGGAGGGCGGGTCGGGATACTTGCGCCTGCATAACCAGCAGCATGTTCTCCACCCTTTCAATCTTGTTGTCGACTCCTCGCACGAGTTCATGTAGATTTTCAATCCCCTTCTTTACGTTGTCGCCTGTCCTACCAGTCAGATCTATGACTTCCGCTTCCTTGAGCAAGGCCAATGTCTCGGTCACTACTGTCTTCTCGGCCAGATCCGTTACCGTACTAAAATCAACGTCCCTAGTGTTCACAAACTTGCTCGTCTGTTGGTAAGCCGACAGGATCTTGTCCTTGTCGAACTCGGAGAACTGCCTGAGGAAGTATTTGCTCATTATCCGGTCCGTAACCCCGGGGATCCTTAGTGCTACCAGGGTAAAATCCCGTAAGAAGTCATTGTACGTTGCGAAATTCTTCCTCTAAATTGCCGCTAAGTCGGCCTCCGTTACCATCTTCTCCGCAACCAGGTACTTTCTCATCATTACATCTCAGGTTTCCTTCCAGGATCGACTCGCGGCTACGATGGCCATTATGTCCCGCCCCAAGCTCAATGACACATGGTGCCCTAGGTGGTCTATCTTTTCTTCTTCGGTCCATTGCAACAACGTGGCCAGATTCTCGTAATCAATTAGGAATTCCGTGATGTTTGCCCCGTCAAATGTCAACTTCTTCTTAGCGTCCGCTAGGTAGCCTTGGTTTTTGTTCAGTGCTCGCGCGAGGGAGGATACTATCTTCCTAAGGCCGCCTTCGTAGTTACTGGTCTCGCCCGCTGTTCTGGTATCCTGCCCTTCCTTGCCGGCCTTCTGTCCCTCCCTAGTCTTTGCAGTTTTTCCGGGTTGAACCATCCCAACACCCTTTCCCTAAGGCTCCCGAGTCCTTCACATCCTCCCGTTACCTCCGGTATGGTCGGCACACGGCTAACCCTGCTATCTATGGCTGGTGGGTTCGTAGCTTTCTCTGCTTTCATCCTCGAGGAGTTCTTTCTCTCCTTCCTCCTTTTGCTCGGTGTTCCCTCACGGTCACTACCCTTATCCCCTTGCCGAATTCAGCCTCGGCCGGTTTTCCGTTCGTCCCGCGGTTCTTCCTGCAGGGGGCCTTCTTCGTTCCCAGTCATTATTTCTTCAATCAATCTTGCCTTGTACTCTGCGGTCCTTTTTTCTATCTCTGCTAGTTTGCGCCTCGCATCCGTGACCCTTACTTTCTTAGACACAGCTCCCTCTGAATTCTGGGGGGGGTTCCTATCCTTATTTCTACCCTCCTTGGTCTCCTGAGTCCCTTGCCTGCTTCCCCTAGCTTTCCCCGAACTTTCCCCTGACAAGATTTCCTTCCGGTTCTCTTTGGTACCATCCGGATTTATCGATTCTCTGTCTTTCTGACCCTCTTCACTCTGCACGGCACTGCCTCCTAAGCCTGGTCCTTCTTCGCTCCTACGGTTATCCGTTTCATCCTCCGTCGCCATTTTGCCTAGTTCTGCATAAACCAAAGGATTCCCCAGGACACACGCAGTGCGAGGCATTTAGGTTTCATAGGTTTCGACTTCGTTGGCTTATCTTTATTCGGATAGTAGCCTTCTCCCCATTTCCGTTTCCCGATTGCTTCCCTAAGAAGGAGTTGCGACCGACCCTGCCGCCCTACCGAGCTAAGGGACATGACTTAGTTCCCTTCATCACAAGCTCGTTTAGAGTGCCCCAATTTCGCCGGGCCGACGCATAGGAATCCTGGTTGGGCATTCCGTTAGGAGAAGTTTCCCAAGCAGTATTCCCCTTTCCAACCTCCGGGGTCATGGCAATCCTTAGGAGTCTACCCCTCCCGCTTTATTCTGTAGTGATTTTTGACCGTCCGGTCCGATGGTCCTTCCCCAATCTCATCCTCGTCCACCGACATTCTACCAACATAAAGGCATTGTCTCTCCCCAAAGTCACGGCCCGCCATTCCACGTCGAATCCCCGAAAGTTGGCATTTGACGGAAGGGACACTTCCCATCCTCTGCCGTTATTCCAGGGTCGTCCGAGGTACCGAGGTTGGTGCACCGTTCGAACATGTCTTGTTGCAGTCGCTGTTCTGATGATTTTCTGCATAGCCCACACAGAGAGATTTACGGTCCGTCGTTCAGCAACTGCCCATCCGCCTGCCGTTTCACTTCTCGCTTATGTCCCCTTCCCACTTTTTTGTCACGCGTCCCATACTTGCGCCCACAATGGTCGGACATTTTCCCTTGTTTCAGTCCCTTCGCATGCCCTGCTAAACTAATGTACATGCCCCTTTCTTATATTACAGCCTAGTTTACATGCACCCTCCATACTCCGACCTTCCCTCGGCGTTCGATTTTCTCGTCCCTTTAATCGAACCACAGTACTTCAAACAGTTTAAAAACATCATCTACGTAGGATGGAGTGGCCGCCGCCTCCCGGCTGATTATTGCGTCCCAAGCCTCCACGTCTACCTCTAGGCGGTCGTACTTACCTATCCTTAGCATGGTGAGGATTTCCCAGGCTCTATCACCGTAGAAGGGCTCGTATTTTAACGAGGTCTTATAGAATTCCTCAGTCAGCCAGACACACTCTATATGCACTTCTTTCATGGAGTCGACCACTTCTACGATGTGCTCGAAACCCCCAAACCGCTCGGCCACGAACTCAGGCACCCAAACCGTTATTTGTAGGCTCGGTGGCTTGAGTTCCTTCTATCCCCCCATCACAACTCTGCTACTAACTTCGTCCCATCCCTCGTTGGCAAACCTCTTGCCTTCTTTTCGGGTTCGCGCCTCTGCATCCCCTAGAAGCCACATCGGATCATGTCTCGTTGCTATCATAGTGCAGAATAGTCGCCACCCGTCGTCGGAAAGAACGACCGTTCCGACCGATTTCACTTTGTCTTCTGCTACCTCGTCCCAACCTTCCTCTTCCCTTATCGGGTTCCAGATCCGCTCTATCCATACATATGATAATCCCGGGGCAACTTCAAACCCGGCCCAGTCGCATGTGGTTCCTCTCCATTCGTTTTCTGCCGGTATAGGCATTTCTATTCCCCCTCTGAGTCGCCTTGGTTCTCATCCCTTGAAGGTGTATTCCATCAGCAATTCCTCTCTAGTCATCTTTTCTCTTCCTGCACAATGTCAGGCCACTCGGTCTCCCTAAGTAAGTCGCCCTCCTTCGAAGTCTTAGTCCTCTATCTCATCATCTTCGTCCTCATCACTGGAGTCGTCCTCTTCGTTATAGAACAACTCCTTCACCCCCTCCAAAAATATCTCCCCTACTGCCACATTTCTGTAGACTATTCCCCAATGCACGGAGCTAGGGACAAAGACATTATCTATGCTAAGGTAGTTTAGCATCTCGGCCAACTCCTCCGCCCAATTTCTTTCAAATGACCTCATTTCTACTGACAACTGAAAGAAGTCTTGCCTAGTGCACTGGTATAGTCTGAGGGTCGTCATGGACTGGCATATCCGTACTAGCCTGCTCCGGGTTCCAAAGACCGCATCCACCAGAAAGGGGGGCAACACACATCGCAGGGTCCTAACGGGCCGCCTCATGCTTCCTCTATCCCCAATTTTCACCCGCACATCTATCCTTTCCATTTTCATTTCCCTCCGCTGACACGCAGCCCATACAACCTCCCCTTCTGCCTTCCTAAACAACTCGTCCGACGTATTCCCGAGCGCCAAATCTATGACCATAGCATTCTCCTCATCTTGTGACAGGTACTGTCCCTCGGAACTCCAAATCCATTAAACTCGGCGACAACCTTGTCAAGCTGACATTAGCCCACATTGTCTCTATCCAAAGGAACGCGTCCTCCCCTTCCAGCATTACGGTTTGATATTCTGGCTCAAGATCTGTCCACGTCCCATCTTCCGGGAGGACAACCGATACCCCATCCTTTACATCTACCGGCATTTCCCGACCACTGGTATAGATCGGGGAAGAGAACCACCGCGCCATCTTGTTTCCAGCACCCGACCCCTGTTTTCATAAGAGAGTACCAAACGGTCCTTCTGGTCAGGTCAACCCTCGTCCTAGATGAGAATTATTTCAGACCCCTCATCAAGGTCTCCCTAATTTACCTCCCCATTCCTAAGTACCACCTTCCCATAATACCCTCAATCGGCCATCCATTTCCCCACATTCTTTCTCTTGGTTCCATTCCAGCTGACCTCTATCCTCCTTCCTTCCGATCATCACTCACTCGTGTAGACTTAGATGGGGAGGAGAGAATAGACTTAGAATTATGCCCGTCCAACAATCCAAGCTCAATCAATCTTTACAGAAGGAGAACAAGAAAAAATCAGGCAATCTTACATGCGGGCTTGTCATCTCCTCACCGGCCTTTTCCCAATATGGTCTCTCCGTTGGTACTATCGATAGAGTTTCATCCCTTACCTCAAGCGCAGCTCAACCGTCGCGAGCGCGGTACCCAGGCTCCGGCACAGGGTGTTACCCTTCTCCATTCGCTTAAAATACCCCATCCCGATTTGCCGCTCTTGCATACCCTCGTTCGTACCGGGAATTATCCCTGTGCACCCCGTTAGGAGCAATAGTCAGTCGTTCGGGCATTCACTTCCATCGGTCCGACAAGAATCAGCCTTTCCCAAGCCGTGCTATGGGAAACTACTAATTGTC